TAGAGGGAGATCAGCAAGCTGGGTCAGGGTAAGATGTAACGGTGCATGAGAACAGCGGTAGCTGGGAAAAGGGACAGACAGTCGAACCAGACCCGGCAGCTGATCAGCTAGAGAAACTCGTTGTTTCAGTCAGCCCTCCTGTCGGCGCGGCAAATAGAGGCACAAGGGCTTGTAATTGATTTAGTGACACGTCTTCCTGGAGTCGAGGTTTGCTCGTATATGCTTCCTCGGAAGATGCTCGGATGCCGGGTCTTTAGCATACGGAACCCAGCGACGTTTGGTTCAGATGGCTTGTGTGTCTGCATTCTGAGGCCCGGCTATCAGTGACGTCATCCTTCATATTGTCAACTTCTATCGCCAACGGTTTTCATCCTCGTCGCTCGCATGGGCAGATCCAGAGAGGAAGGTACGGGGTCATGGGTCCCTTGGGCCCCGAAGGAGGAGCCCATGGGCTCCGAAAGGGCCCATAGCCGGCCGAACAGACGCATTTTTGCATGGAAGGCAACAAATTTGGATGTCTATGGGCTTACAGGCGAACAATAACAGTCTCAAGCGAAAGTTAGAGGCCCACGAATAGTGAAAAATTATTGTTCGCTGATTGAGAGGGTGGCGATTGGAAGGTCTTAAGAATGCTTACGCTGCCCAGAGGCCCGATGTTTTCGGGGGCCCTATGTGTCCACGTTAGGGATTAACCTTGCCGTTAATGAGCTTTCTACTTTGCCTTTGATTTCTTTGCACTTGCTAGGAGGGCCCTGCGCTGTTGCTGGGCCCTTCCTGCTAGCGTACCAGGGATTACTTTGTCAATCAGGGATCTTCTACGCATTTTTTCCATTCGCCCGAAGTGTTCTGTGCGATAGAGCCAGAGGGCCTTATATGTTGACATGCCGGGGTATTCTCGATTGCTCAGGGAACATTCACGTTGGTTATGAGTAACGTACCGGTACTCTCACTATATGCTCATGGGCCCTCCACATTGATCCAGGGCCCTTCCAATTTTCCATCAATTACTGAGGGTCCTACGCTCTTGTCTGGGACCCATCTGTTAACTTACTTGGGCTCACTCGGTCGCTCAGGGCCCTCCAGATTGGGCCTTGGGTATATCCTATTCGAATAGAGGCCCTATGCTCTTGTCAGGGCCTTATCTGCTAGCCTGCTCGGGTGCACTGGATTGTTCGGGGATCCTGCACATTGGGTTTGACATTTGAATTTAGGGCCCTGCGTTCCTGTCGGGGCGATTTGATAATCTGCTCGGGCACACTCGACCGTTTGGGGGCCCTCTTCATTGGGTCTTAGGTGCTTTCTATTTGAACAGAGGGCCCCACGCTCTTGTCGCAGACCTTATCTGTTAACCCGCTCAGGCATACTCGGTTGTTTGGGGGTCCTGCATATTGGGTCTTGGTTGTTTTCGTATTTGAATGGAGGGCCTTACGCCCTCTACGGGGGTCTTCGGGGATTGGGGGGCTGTCTTCACTCCGTCCTGGGTATTTCTTATCTAAAGGTAAGGCCCTACGCTCTCGTTCGGGTCCCTTTTGATAAACTACTTTGGCACACTTGATCGTTCGGAGGTCATCCACAACGGGTCTTGAGTATTTCCTATTTGAATGGAAGGTCCCACTCTATTGTCGGGGCCCTATCTGGTGGCCTTCCCGAGCACACTTGATCATTCTTGGGCTCTTCATATCGTGTCTTGGGTACTTCTTATTTGAATAGATGGCCGTCTAGTCTGTCGGGACCAACCTACCAAGCTGCTCGGACCAGTGGCGGGTCCAGAGGGGGTAGGGGCACGGAACCGTGCCTCCCTTGTTCCCCGAGGGAATCCATAGGCTCCGGAGGGGCCCATGACCAGGCGAACGGACGCAATTCTCAAACACAAAACACGACCAAATTGGACGCCTTTGAGCCTCCAGACGATAAAGAAGAGTCAAAACCTGAAGCAAAGCCCGTGTGCAGGCAAACTCATCATGTTGTCCAGAGGCGTCACGATGTTAACACGCATAGACACCCTATATGCACGGGTATCGATTTGTATTCTTTTGGTTGGGCTTCTGCCCCCGCCCCCCCCCCCCATGTTCAATCTGCCCCCCCCCCCCTTCAACGGCGAGTTTGCCCCCCAGCCGTCTGGAGCTCAAGCTCCGGTAAGACGTTACAAGTAGAAGCTTGAAATTATATCAAATTTAAAGCAGGCTTGTACAAATTTTGTCACAGGTAAAACAACCAGATAAAATGAAAACTGCGATATTATGTCCAGTTTAGTGCACCGCACTGAGTAAGCCACACTTTAAAAGCTCCGTGGTCGTTCCATGTTGTCTTGACATTTTCTTCTGTTTTTATGTATACTGCATCCTTTTGAATGCGCAATTTATATCTATGGTTGACTATGGTTCAGTTTTGTTCTATTGTGAGAGTGCTATGGAATTATTCCTTGATGCTAAAGATATACAGACTGCAGCAAGTTTTGTTTTTTGGCTAAAACGCTTAATCGGGAAATAAAAACAAAACGTTATCAAGTTATTAGCCGTCTGTATTCGGAGGAACCATTGAAATATATCTACCTTCACTTCAGCATGAATATCAGATGAAACAATAGCAAAAACCTGGCAATCGACACCAGCTGACTAAACCGATGGCGTTAATTGTCCGACCATGACCACCAACACAAGCCGTGTCGAACCGTGCCTTCCGAATAAACCGAATGGGAGAGATGCACCTGCACCCTGCCGTGCGGCAATCAGCGGGGATTTCCATGGTCGACATTATTTGTCGGGCAAATCAACTTACACTTTTTGCTCCCGAAGCGGCACATGCGTCCAACAACTTCTAAAGCCACGTAACATCAACTCTACGTCGATTACTGAAACCTGGTTTCGACGACCGACGCCAAACAAAATTATGTTGCTACCCAGCCATAACATCGTTCGCCGAGACAGAGCAAGCAAACGCATATGACCAGGTCTGTTTTTTTTCTATTCTGTTTCAAGGAGGCAAATTTAGCTTAATAACATCGCTGAGAGGGAGTTATGTCGAATCCGGGGGTGACCCGTTTTTATATTACATTTGGCGTTAGCTTTTATCCCACTCGGCCTCACCACTCCCATTTTGCAAAACTCACTATTATGGTAAAGTCTCAACGACCGTGACACGCGAAAGATTCGTCCCCAGATTATACTACAGGGTCATGTCTGGGACTTGGGCCCCATTTACCAAACAGACAGAACTGACATCCGCGATTTACATCGGTCGGGACTCTGAAGTCAGTGAATGGCCCCTGTGCCGGTCAGTGGACTACAGTGTCCAACAAGAGTCGAGTATTGACAAGGAGTTCAGCGTCGGCCCGGGACAGTGTTCGGGGGGTCCGGAGAGGTGCCGAAGTCCCTGAGGACCGACGATGAGTGCCTGATTGGAAGGCACGAAGGCAGAGCCGGGCCATCAAATGTCAGTCAGAGAGCCTCTTGCACCGGTTGGGGACACCCCGGGACAGTGCGGGTCTCTATTGCAGTCACAAGCCACCAACACGGAACAGTTGGCTCCGTGTCGGTCTCAGCCCTGGAGGCCCATTTTCCAAGCAAAGACAAAGGTCGAAACCTGCGCTTTGTATTCGTCGGGTCCATCCCAAAAATGAGGGCTTCTTTGTTGGTCAGAGACTCACAGTGCCTGCTAATACCCACTGCTTGCAAGAAGTCGCGAGTCGGCAGGCCACCATTTGTTGGACAGGGACAGAGATGGGACCCCGAGAGCAAGAGGCCTCTTGCTTTGGTCTTGGACCTCTGAAAACAAAAATGGTGATAAAAGTGTACGATGAGTGTCCACATGACAATAACGGGAGAGCTTTAGTTACGCAAGGCCCCGGTGCCGCACAGAGGGCTCTCCATCCCATTTCAGCCAGGGGCTCGTTATGCCGAGCTGTAGTCTATATGCCAATTAATAGACCAGGGGAGTTAATTTTTGTAAATTATTGGCGGGCGGGGGGGGAGGGGGGCCGAACCGAAGGCCCAACAACCTAATCCCCCCATCTCTGTCATCGGACCTCTTAGCCCACCTTATGTGGATTAAACGCAATATATGTTTTTGATCTTTATAGAATTTATACACGTCTTTAATCTAAGCAGTATAGAAGTCATCCAGGATTGGATCCAGGGAGCAGGCACAGGATGCGCGCGTCTCTTCTGATCGGCACGTGAAGGCGCCCCCTTAGAGGCCATCTTTAGGCGCTGATTGTGCTCTTCTATGGCGGTTATGGAAGGCGGCACACATTTTGGTTGTTAGGGACGGTGGCAGTTGTAGTTATGAAGCACTTATCCTATCCACATGCTCCAGAGCTCCCTACTTTAGCCCCACAAGCAAACCATTGCGTGTCTTATGGCAATAGGCGTGTGAAGTTTATTGCATCGTTTATCCGCTCAGCTATTATGGTTCGTATCTTGTGGTGAGAGCAGCCATGACTTTTTGTTATGAGAGTGGTACGAGACGCCGCTTCGCGGAAAGATCAAAGAGGAAAGTCTTTGTGTTATGATTATCTTTTACCCACGCTTTTGTAATATTCCAGACAAAAACATTGAGGGCGGCCAAGCCAATATAAAGAGGGCTCAACTCAAAATTGGGAGGGCCAGAGCCCTCACAAAAGAATACAAATCGACACTGGTGTACTGGGCGCCTGCGACGATGAGGGATCTTTTGCATCAATGAAGGCTCCTGCGTCTACGTGGTAACGAATTGCCAGGTCACGACGCCACCGGCGTCAGGCAGGTGACCAATGTATAATGCATCCCTCTACATCCAGGGTTTCTATATCGGCCAGGGCGTCCCGTCCCTAAGACAGCCGGTGACATCAAGCGCATGAACTTTTGCGTCTGGTCAAACCACGCCGCACTATTTCAAAATCCCCGCTCCTTGTTGGGAGATTGGAACGGCGAAACTGGCTTGGGACGCGCCGCAGGTCTCCAACGGCCAACCGCCGCATTTGACTTCCGTTTCCATTCCGGCGCTCCCACGCGTGTGTGATTTCAGCTGTGAGAAATTGAATGTGCTGAGTTTGATATCTGCTTTTTATATATTTTAAACATTGCATGTGGTTGTTGAGCGTCGCTGATGGATGCGGCGGAGTTCTTGAATGAGAAGAAGGTGACGCGTGTCGTCAGCGGAGGGAAAGATGTTGAGACATCCCTGCTTTCCCTGCCAACGGAAATTTTGGAACATATCTTGTGTTTCCTGAGTGTAGAAGATATTGTTTCTGCATCACAAGTATGCAAGAGATTTCATGATATCCATACTTCAGAGAGAGTGTGGAGGTTTGGATTTGAGTCCAGGTAAGTTTCCTGGGTCAGGGTACACCATTTTGCTGATAACTATGCAAACTTTAAGCCTCTGCTGCAGCTGACATAATGAGGGTGTGAAGTTGCCATTATTAAAGGGTTAAATATGGTCAGAGCAGTCCTGTACAAGTGCATATATTTTTTGTGTTTGTAACATGCATATTTGCATGACAAACTTACATATTTGTGGCAAGCCATGTCAGCTATGTTGGTTATTTGTACCAGCAGTTGCATAGAACATGCTCTTATAATGTAGATGTAAAGCATGCAGATTTTTCAACATTTTGTACTTATACAGGGCATGAACCCCAGTTTTTGTGGTGCTTATTATGGCAATGCAGTGATGTCACTCCCTAACATAGGCTTGGCAGGTTCAGCTGAAAATGTTTACCTAATGTACCCTCAAAACCCAAGTTTTTTGTGTGATTTCATACACTCAAAGTTTTGGGTTGGATGTTGAACTTGCCAAAAATAAACTTAAAAACTGTATGTATTGCATTGTTTTGCTAAGGACAGTTTTCTGTGGGGAATTAACCTAATGTTTTAAAAAGGTGTCACCTACATTTTTGTGAAAAGCATAGAATTAGATGTGATTCACAGAAAAAACAAATGAACTGAATATTAGTAAGGAACCCTTGATGACCACTTCCATTGCTGATCACTTTATATCACCAGAACATCAATGATAATGTGACAAATACACTTGCCACCACTAGGGAAAACATGAGAACTTTTTGTTAGGCTGTCATGTACTTCTTAAAGCTGCCACACATTGAGATATTTATAACTTTTCCAACCTGGGCATTACCATCTAAGACTTTTATCACCATTTCCACACCAGCTTAACATGGCAAGGAATTAGCATGACACAATGTTACATTCCTTCAGGATACTATTTGGTATGAACCCAAACTGAAATTACGAAGCTACACCCTTGAATTCAGGGTCTTGTTACAATTCACTGTCAAGATGTCTGCAGTCTGGGTATCACTGGTAATAGTCAATGTTCAGTTCTCAATACATCACCATTTTAATGACACTCAAACTACCTCCTCTTCACACCTTAAATTGCGATAAGTGAGGTATGGCACCCTGATGGTCAAATGACTGCCAAAAGCTGACTTCATATAATTAAAATTTGGCATGCAGTTTGGTTCAGCTCCTTGAATGTCAAGGTTAAAAACATGTTGGATTTTGTTCTCTAATTCTGTATGCCTGTAACACTCTCTAATGGCTTAACATACCAGGTACGGTTAGTACAACACCCGGTACACAAGTGCGGTGCATTGAGACATAGGGAGCAGATGCTCTGGGATTAGGTGAAGATAAAATGTGGCTATCTTTTGTTCTGTCCTTCCAGCTATCATATGAATCAGGTTCCCGTCCTTCACTACCTCTTCGCCCCCCTAATGTCTTGAATTGTGAGGTATTGTGTCCAGAACCAGGTGAAGAGCCAGCCAACCAGACAAGTGAGATGAGTCAGAAGTCCATGGTTTTATCACTTGGAGTTCTCATTCTTGCATTCAAACAGGCCAGACGTTCAACTTAATGCTACATTTGCGGTGTTTAATGCCACGTTTGCAACTTAATGCCTCGTTTTTAGCGGTGCATTTACCGGGTGTGAACAGATTTGAAATGCGGCCATCCCCGAACATTAGCGTCAGTATTCCTCGTGTTTCGGACCACCCGATTTGAAGAAAGCGCCGAATGAATTGAACAGGAAAGCACTTTTCGAGCACAAATAAGGCAAACAGATTGAAACGGGAATATGTTTTTGTTCTTTCTAAAAAAGGACCGAAAAGACATGTGATATCCATGCTCTTCATAGCATCACTGTCTCAACTCGTCAGGGAAGAGGATGGACTGCTCTGCATCTGGCTGGAACATTCATTTTTGTAAGATTTTCTTTAAATCTTTGGAATAGATGGGTTTCAGTGATCGAGCCAATGCTTAACAGTACTGGTTGCATTAGCCGTGGTCTCTACCATGCGATTGTGTCATCAACGCATAATTTGGAAGCGAAAATGTCACGTACCCCAACGCCCAGTATGCTCCGTCCCGCTCTCTGACTTCATCTGACGTTTATCGTGTGCGCCGCCACCTCCGCAGACCATCGTCCTTAAAGACAAACTGCGAGCGCTTAACTTGACTCAAACCCGTCCCTCCTCATGTTGTCTGATAGCAAGGCGGGCACTGCAACGAACTGCGGTATGGGGACGGACCTTTGCAGGTCGCACTGCAGCCAATAATGTTCCATTACAAAGATCCTGTAGGACGCAAGTTATGGTGCATTTTGGTAGATTTCATATGGTTAGTCGTGTGTAGATTGTGCTACATTATGGTTGCAGAAGGATCTTGCTCATTAGGTGTCAAACGAAATGCTTAACACGAGACAGTGATGGAACCAGCAGTTTTGACTTGAATAGTACCAGTGTAATCCAGCTAGTTACTTGTGAATTCGATGCGCGTCGGCGGCGACTTATTTTGTGTCCCGTCATTTCTATCGGAAAAAGATTAAAAGCAATGGGTATGTTTCATTGTCCGTACATTCACATTTACCCCAATTTTATTTTTCGAAGCAGAATAAGCGTATCCTCTTTTTCCATACTGGTAGATGAATTAGTGCAGTGTGCTGGTAATTGCGGCTCTGGTGTCTCCGTGGCGGGTGTTCTTTATTTTCTCATCAGCTACCAACTCTAAGGAGCGGTTTGTGCCTAGCTGTTATTTTTTCCGGTACAACATGCTCCAGTTTCGTGGATTTCCTTCTTTTTTAGGGCGCCCGTTACATTAATTGCACCCTCCGGTGCATCCTTGCCTTCGTTGGTCCCCTAGCGAACCTCAGTCACCTGTTCGATTCGCTCACGGCACCGTCGTCTTTTTTATAGGTACCCTCGCCTGATGCAGCCCTCGTGCCGGCCTGCCCTGCTGCGTGTGTTCGAACAATGCGGCCGCAGCTGGCGTCGCACTGCGAGGTTTCGCACCTCGGCTGGCCACCACCTGCGCGCGGCCCTAGCCAAGATGGCCGACAGATGCTACTCGGTCGACTGCCTGCCGGACCCCGCTATGGAAGAGTTCCGCCAGCTGGTGCCCATCCATGGTACCCTGTTTAATCGCGATGCCCTTCTGGAGATCATCTACCCGCGTCAACACTGTCCGTAAGTTGGATCATCTGCTCCTATGCTTTACTAAGTGCTCTGACCCGGTTCATTTCGCTCAGATCGAGCAAGCCAGACACTAAATGTGGTGCTTGTGCGTAAACTGCACGCATAAGATATTACAGCAGGTAACAGCATCTCCCCAAGACTGGTTCTCAGTTTCCTTGTCCCGCGGATTGTCATTCTACAATTTAACGCTTTTGCACATGTTTTGGTGCTCACGTTCCATTGAAAGACATTCAGTAGGTTTACCATGGCTTTGGCCCCTCTGTACAAAAACATATTTGTTGTTCTCGCTGGTGCTTAGGGTCACTGCCGATAAATGATCCTTTCATCTCACATTTAGGCCTGAGAGGTGAAATATGTCGTGCAACACATTTGTGTAACTCTAACCGCTCTACGACAGGGATGATGACCTGTCTGTGCGCTACTATGCACGGATGCTGTTCCGCGAGATCCAGCGGGACGTCGTGCTGCTGCCCCTGTTCCGGGAGTACATGCAGCGGCCAGTGCAACATCTGAACGTTCCCGAAGCCTTCTATCTGATGAGCCTCTGGATGATTCCGGAGCAAACCAACAGTCTACAGTCTGAGCTCCAGGCGTGAGTCCCTCGTCTCGAGAAAGCAATCAGAGTACTTTGGCTGTTTTTTACACTGGCTAGCACCTGATTGTTATCAGTTATTTGGGGCATTTATTTTCTTCCTTTACTCTCGTTGCTGGCTTCACTCCATCCATGACCGACGATCGCCATGCCCATAACGTGTATTGCCGCTAGCCCTGAAACAAGTGGTATAGGCTGCTACGCAGGCGAAACAATAGTACAGGCTGATTGAATTTACAAGCACCAGCCGATTAATGGGTACTCTTGAAGGAAAACGCGCGGAGGGGCGTACAGTAGTTCGTCCTCCCCATTGCGACCTTCCCTGTCGTCCCATTTGCCATTGATACCAAGCCTTCTTTGCAATGGTTTGTGTATGCATGCATCTTGTTCGCCAGCCAGTAAACGAATGTCACGACGTATGATGCGCACACGTGAATTTTTACACAGAGCCCTCGCCGCAGCTACTACGTCAAGATCGCCAGCCTGGTTTTGGGCGAGGTGCGTCAGCGGCTCCCGGAGCACCCGGCCGCCGCCTGGGATACGTGCAAGCAGAACCCGTTCGGACCCACGCTGTGGACAGACGACCAGACGCTGCAACTGCTGGACGTGCTGAACGTCGTGCTGTATGACCAGCTCGCCCTCATGGAGAACGATGGACCGAAGGACGGTCCGGCCGCCGAGCTGAGCACACTTGTGAGTGTTTATTGTTTTCAAACGTTGTTGTTGGGTCTTGCACATTAAAAGGCATGATCCTCTGGGTGATGTGCTGCTAAGCACAAATGTGCTGCAAACCTCCCTACCCACCCATTTATCACAGGTCTGAACCCCCTGACTGCTGGATGGCTGCCTAAACATGCGTACTGCCTTGTGGTGTGTGCATAGTGAGCGATGCTTGTTGATGGCAGAGAGGATGCAATATTGGTATTTGCTTGAGTGCATGCAAGCAGCTATTTTGTTCTTTCGGTCTGTAAAGCAGACTACCCTTATGGCTAGTTATGTTTTTTGATGATGGACTTTCATAAACCTGACTTCGGTTCTACAACCTATCCCTGAACTATGGATGGATAGATAGGCTGCTCCTGCTCAGTGTATGAAAGGTATTGGAACTTTGGATTGCCACAAATCAAAACCGTTACTATTCACTTTACAACTGCTAGTGTGTGTAGGTCACTTCATGTATATGAAATCAGTGGATTTAAGTGGTCGCCATTTCTTTTGCTGCTTTTGGTATTTGCAGGCTATTTAGCATTCCTAACAGAATTTGTATCATGACGTACCATTTTGTTTACAGCTCTTCGTGCGCCATCGCCACTTTCGCCGTGCCGGTTCGAGGGTGCAGACTGTGATGGCCACCGTCTACTGCTCTGTGGCTGGCATGCTGGGTGTGAACCTCCACAACGTGCAGCTCCCGCACAGCTGGATGATCTGCTGGCACAAAACGTAAGCATTTTTGCCTGAGCATCGATATCAGATCTGTTGCTCTGGCACAAATCACTTGAGTGGGCAGGATGCTGATCTAGTCCGTGTTGGTTGGAGGGTCGCTGTTTGCTCAAATATTGTTGCAATACCGAATGGGGTAAGGGCCTTGTCCTACCTTTTTTGATTTAGCCATAGCTGTAGGTAGAAGGATTGTGGTGTGTGCACCTCATTAAGTTTCCTTTCCAACTTTGAGGTATTTTTGTTTTGCCCAAGCTTTGGTGTTAGGTCTGTCTAGTGAGCTTCTCTGATCAACATCACATTTTTAAACATAAAGAGTAGTTGAAAAGTTGTTTAGCTATGTGTGTGGAAGGCTGTGTTGTTCCCGTAATGGTGCAATCTATGATTTTTTCCCATCCACTGTACATTTCATGATAACTGCAAGGCTTACATCGATTGCGGAATTCCTGGATGGTTTTTCAAAAGCACGTGTTTATGCATTGGGCTACATGGTAATGCAATGCTCATGGACGTTGTGGATACTGAAGGGCTCATAATTTTGTAAGTGAAAGCACCCCTGAACTTATATTGTCCGTGTTAGGCAACGCCGGACGAAATAACACTCTCTGCTTCCATTTGTATTCAGTGTCTAGCGTGTCCCTGCACACCATGTGTGTGCATGCATACAGGGTCTTGATGTGCACCGTGCCTGATAGCCTAATGTTCTGTTCCATGGGCAGGGACGGTGAACAGTACCTGTTCATCGACGTTGTGCGCCGCGGCTTGCAGCTGTCCAGGGAGCAGGCGCTGGAGGAGCTGAATGCCCTCCAACCGGGAGTCGACCTCCAGATGCTGGAACCTGTCCCCAGAGAGAGGGTAGGTCATATCGCCAAATGTTTGAGAACATTGTCGGTGTTATACATGTGATATGTCCCTGTTGTACTCTTTGTGTTTGGTGTTGGAGTGATTACACAACTTCGGTATGCGAGATGCATATGTTATTTCTCGTGATATGCCCCCACATTCATGACCTCGCGTTTGGCGAATGCTTATGCCTGTGGTGGATTAGCCAGGTCGCCTAACATAGACCCGTACTGTTAAGTGTATTTAGCCACCTCGCCTGGAGGGTTGGAAGTAAGCCCACTTTTATATTTCAAGATCTGCTAATTTTATGAAGATGTCCAAACAACAATCAATTGGTCTCATAATCTCACCCAGAAGGTGTTGCATTAGCTTTGTAACCTAAGTCATGACACCACAGCTGACGCAAGAAGGGTAAAAAGAACTGCAAATTTTGTGTAAAGCTTATTGCCCATGACACCCATTATTGTGGCTACATTTCTGTATAGCTGATAGCAACGAATAGAAACGCGATGACAAGAATCTAACAAACAGTGACTTGTGTTCTCTTGAACTCCTTAACCATGTGACATTGCTTGCGCAGCTCAGGGTTGCGCGTGGGTCATGTCATCTGAAGGTCGTGTTATTTTATGGTCATACCATTTCATCAGACATAGTTTTCCGGGTGTTCAGAATCAAGTCAAAGTGCCCGTCCTTCCTGCCAGCGTGAGAAGCAGACGACGACATTAAGTCTCAGCCGTGTACTTTGTAAAGCCCCAGTGACGACGAAATAATATGACTAATGCAGAAGTCGTTGGTTTGGAAATGTGATATTTAAGCCGACGCGTTAGTTCAGCGAGCTGATGAGTTGCTTCAGAGCAAGCCCAATGGGATGTTCGTCTTGGAAGCCTTTGTTCATCAAGTCATTGGCGTAAGCAATACGTACCACTTTGCTCAAAATTTGTCAAATTGAATATTTGCCAGTTGACGCCATTTTCGTAGCCGTACTTAGTAAGAGTTCAGATAGGTCGTTATTGCCAAATTAGGTTGCAATTGCTAAGTTCATGCCTTACCTCAGGCTGGCACACGATAGAGCCAGACCCACCGTGTCTATCCCTGCTCTACGCACGTTCTTCAGTGTGTTTCGATGTCACTGTGCCTGTTTCCCCATCTTACCATGTATACTGTGTTTTGGCAGTTGCTGAGGTACGTGATCCAGTGCGCCACCCAGCCGGATCTCTGCCGGCCAGGGACCGACTTTGACTTGGCCTCGGTCGAGACACTGGCCTGCTGGGCCCGCAGCAGCTGCCGCCTGGACACGGCTGCGCTCGTCGACCTGATGTCCGCCCTGGCTCGTACCAGACCCATGTACACACGCCGCCTGCTGCAGGTCAGTGGTCTCCCATGACGCCCCGGCGGAACGGTCGGCACGTGCGGTCAGTCAAACCCTTTTGGGCACTTGACCCAGGTTGCTTGTCATCTCCGCTGTAATGCATCCGAAGCCTCCGGCCCTCGCCGTTCGCCCCCTCCGATCTAAAGCAGGTGGGTAGCAAAGGCCCCACCGGGGCCACGCACCCTCTGCTCATGGCGTTGGAAATTTTTGCGCTTTGTGCATACATTTGCACACCATTGTGTGACTCCCACTTACACAAACACTAGTACGAAGATCCGCTGTAGACGTCCTTTATGTCAACGCCGTGAGTTATGCTGATGCGCTCCAATGATCTGGATTTGGCAATGCTTATGCTGTTGCTGTAGGAGACGTGCGCCTATGCTAATATGATGACAGCCAGTACCACGTTCTCTACAGTTTTTGGGGAAAACGTGCATCTACGTGTGGAAGCGTCACTATGAGTTGCACCATTTATGTCTAAGGGCATATGTGGCTTACATGTGTCATAGCGTGAAGCCTGCAATTCTGTGTTCTGGCACCTTATATATCCAGCTTGTAGCTGACCTTTATCTGGTGTTCTATCCTGAGTTCGAAATGTCAGTGGAAATGTTTCGTGAAATGGCAAGCCTGCTCAGGGAGCATAGTTTTGTTTTGTTTCTTCCCATAGCAATTCATCCAGGCTAATGCATCATACCTGATGGAAGACGACAGGCGTTGCTTGCAAGTACTCGTGAAGGACCTGAAGAGGAAGTACAAGCGATTGTTGCTCTCCCTGGAGAAACAAGAGACCAAGGTCCAGGAGCTGGTAAGAATCAGCTGGATTTGATCAGATTCACACCAGTAGTATCATTCTTGTAACCTTTTCATATAGACCTGAAGGCAGATATTTGTTTCCCTGCATTCAGGAGGTGGTGGGGGTAAGTGCACAGGGTATGTAGGGCCTTCTGGTATGAATGTGCGTCTATCTTTGCTGAAGTTTGACTCTAGCCCAGTGCGCAACTTGCCAACATGCTTTTATACAGTATCCAGTCTAGTGTATGGATGCTGTAAGTTTTATGATGCGGACGTAGAATCCTAATGCGTAGGCACGACATGCACTACTGTACAGTTTGCAAAGGGCCCTATGGGACAAACGTCAGTCCTTGTATCATTTGATTTTGCTTTGAATCTTGTGGTCCTGATGATGTGTACTCGGTGTATGCGTGTCTGTGACGTGTCTTAACATGCCTCCGACGCGTATCTAACATTCCTTCCACATTATAATATTGGGGTGTTCACTCACCTATAATGCAGTGCTATCCTTTTACGCCCTTTTGCCCTGTGCCATTTGTTCACTCTTCCAGTCAATTTTTTTCTATTCTTGTAGCATCCGTGATATCTGATTATATTGGCTGTATTTATTCACAAGATTAGGCACGGAGGCCAGTTGATCCAGTCCCATTTTCATTGCATGACAATCCACCTACTGCCTTTTAGTCATGTTGCAGGCCCGCTAGACCCCATCATGTCAAGGCCTCATTCTGTCGCACAACCCTTACCTTATGTTGTGTATACTGTCCTTAGCCTCGTTATCGGTGTTTCAGGTGAGCCTCCGCGCGGCAGGCCAAGCAGTGGGCGACTATCCGAGGCAGTTCGGCGTCGGTGACGTCGTCACGCGCGGCGACGGGCACCTGGCTGTGGTGTACGGCTGTTCACCACACTACGAGGTCTCACAGGTATGAGCGGTACCAATGGAGTTATTGGATCATGACAGGCCCTGGTTGTTGTGTCGCCTGATGACCTATTTTTTCAAAGCACTTGGCGGCTTTGCCTCTGGCATACCTTACAACCTGAAACACAGATAACGTCTCTGTTCCGTGGGGCTTTAGGTAGGCACTAGCTCAGTTCAATACTTGCTATGCTCTGTCCACAGTGTATCCATTGCCTATTGGTACTACAAACTTTTGTAGTACCATTACAAGTCTTCTGTACCTTACACCTCCAACGATATTTGTGCTGCATGAGCTGTGTTGACTCTGTCCGGTGCCTTTTGCAGGACTGGATGGAGGAGCGTCGCGTCAACTCCAGACTACAGCGTGGAGCCAACCAGCCCTTCTACAGACTACTGCTGGAGGTGGATCAGTTCGGATACGTGGCCGAGGGTGAGGAGGCTCATCTAACAAGTGGTGTGCACTCTTGCCTAGATCTTAGCGCGTACATTCATTTACAGCATCCCAGCATCCAGCAGTTTTTCTGCATTCAAGTTGTTTTTTTTCGCGGTCCTGGTTGGTAACAGGAGAGCAATATCGATGCCGTAGCAAGCACGCTACGTTTTGTTCAGTATTTTTAGCTCTAAACAGCGGTGCCGGTATGTATTGGTTAACGCATCTGCGCTAACCGCTGCGCGTCTGGGAAACCAGAGGTACGGGGTTCGATTCCCCGCGGTGCCTGCTCTTCCTGCCAGGGTGAGAGGCAGGCGACGCCATATAGCCTCTGCAGCTGAGCGCGTCGTAAAGCCCCAGTGACACACAGCAGTTGTGTCTTCATTCTTCCTGCTTCTTTGACAGTCCTGTGTTGTGACTTTAAACATATATGCATTCAAATATTCAGCCGTTATTGTCATAATGCTGTTGGACTTTGTATCTCTTAGTATAATTCATAAAGACTAGCCCCTCCTTGGAAAGGTTACTGAGCTGTACACAAAGAATCGCGAGTTCTTTGATGCCTTTTGCCCATCATGGTGTTGAGTGCCTCTTGGGTCTGCCTCTAACAGAGGTGTATGCATCATTGCAGAGGAGCTCCAGCTGGCCCCAGATCCCCAGCCTATTGATCACCAAGGAGTGGGTCGCTTCTTCACCCGGTTCGACGGGGAGCGGTACCAGCCGATCACTCCTCTGGCCATTCGCTTCCCTGAGCCGCGGCGTGAGCGTGAGGCGAAAACGAGCTTCGTCGAGTCGCCAGAAGATGACAGCGACAGCGATTGGGAGCACTTCGATGCAGAGGTGGAGGAATGGAGGCCGGTGCCCCCCGCTGTCTGGACGGGTGTCTGGCCAGAGATCCTCCCCGAGGACTCAGATGATGAGGACGCTGATGGTGGAGCCGTGACTGCTGACGTTGGCCCGGTGAACCACTAATGGCTGTGTTGGAGCTGTGAAGAAAAGCGCATCAGCTTAACTGGATACCTCATTTTTCTGTATATCATTGATTGACTGCATTGCATAGTAGCTGTGTGTGTACCTGATGTGTACAGCTGAGCTGAGTGTATGTAACTGTGTGGCTGCTCTGTACACATTCAACGATGTGCCATTCTCCGTGATTGGTCGAGCTGTGTGCACTGAATAACGCTGATCAGTTCTGGCACTCGGTGGTTGCGGACACACGGTCTTGGCGTTGATTTTCAGGTGTCTTTTTATGTGATAACGTGCTGTGTCACCGGCTGTGCATGTGATGCCAACTATGGAAGTGTTTTACGCTTAACGTGTACATTTGTGTGCATATGAGTCATATGCGTGGTGTTGATTGATTTTGTTCTTCTCAGGCTATTTTGTCTGCAAAAGCTGATCAGTATTGTGTAGTGTCTTTTGCATGCGTTTAAATATGTCCGATTGTATCAATGGGTCATGAAGTATCGTCATTTACTGATATCAGGGAAATTGCATTAATGCTGTGATAATCTCATCAGTCCATATGCCACATATACCTGCATGAGGATTTTCCAGTGTGTACATTTGTCGATTGTAGGTATCACGTGTAGAACCGTTTTACAAAGGAGCAACCGCAGAGTTTTTGTACGTCTAGTATCATCAATGTTTGTGATAAAAATGTATCAACCGGTACAATAAATAATATAATAATTGCAGTGGTTCCTATGTGAAGGCGACAGAAGCTTCCATTGTTCGGAAGGCCCTCTATTTTCTGAGGGTTGAAACGTTGCAGAAGCACTGATCCACACCGCTGCCGTTGCTTGGAATGCCTCGCAGTCCATTTTTGATCCGGTCTTTGATCTTTGTCAGGGTATAGTAAGAGCCACCAATTCTATGTCTGCTAGCTTATTGAATTTGGTTGAATCCAGGTGTTATCAGCTCCGTGAAGAACGATTAATACAAACGGTCCGCAGGCCGTGCGAGTGTCATCGTCCAAAGATTTTAAAGTTTCAGCGACACGGCTCCAACCGGCCTGTCGCGCTTAGGATGTGGTTGTATTTCTCGACTACTTAGCTACTGCTTTGTAGGTTTCAGCATCAAGTTGCACACTGTTTTCGGAATCCTTTTGAAGCGTTCCCAGAAATTTGATTTTTATAGGGCAGGACATTTTCCCAACCAGCAACAGTGCCGCAAATGCATCTCCCCAAACTTTACTTGGGAAACTTAATATTAATTTGCGTAAAAACTGAAAAATGCGCCCGTGCTGCCATTTCTCAACGAGTTGGAGGTACTACGAGTGGTAATTTCGCGTGGGTCGTTTGGCAGTATGTCAACGTCGCACAAACGTTCCACGATGAAATCAGGGAATGACGCACTCAGAAGCACAGTTACCAAATGCAACAATTTTCTCATCTAGCCCGGTCTTTGCAACTCCTTATCAGGCACTGCCGCCTTAAAGTACACTGATTGCATCAAGTTGATTGCATCCTATATGATGCTTGCTTCAAAACCCTTAAATCTGGCACCTTCCCTGTAGCTGGTATAGTTGAGATTATTTGATAAATTGTTGTTTTTTTCTCGGTAGAGCGAGATGCTCACCGTCATAACCACTGCAGCTGTTAAACGCGTAAACCTACCCGCGTTTAATCGCTTGGTTAAGCAACAAAACGAATGTGTGGTTCCATAGTTAGCTAATACTTTCCCAACCAATGATCTCCAGTGCGGGGAAGCTAAGCGCAGATTTTCCTAACGTTACACATCATGTTTGTCTCGAATTAAAGAGCCAATATTCCATCAATCACGATTCCTTTAGTTGCACTTGATAAATCATGTGCTGCTATTTTGTTTCACACCAATGACTTCGGTCTGGATTATCACTTCAGCGCGTGATTTATGTGCCAGGAAATTGATGGAATGTTCCTGTCGTGCTAACGTCCTCAGCCCAGCACTGGCTTGTGCGCTTGGCCCGCTAACGTAGCTCGTCAGGGATTGCACTGATTTGTAGATGACGCCACCTACGGTGGTGCCGGCGCGTACAGGTGACGCCGCCAACAGGTGACGCCGTCCATGGATTGGGTCCGTTGGGGAATGTTGTCAAAGCGCAAAAAGCGGTTCTTGGTTGGGACGTTGCACATAGCAGCATGTCTAAAGGCACAGGGGACACAATGTATTTGCCCCACCGCTCTGACACTGTAACCGTCATGGCAGTAAGACGACTGGTTATGTACATGGTTGTTATGGACTTGGAGACGTGGTCGTCCAAAAAAGTGCCGCACCAAACCGGCCAATCCGCTAAAGCCATGCGATTTTTGGCCAGCGATGCTTATCGGACCCGCACCACCACTCCCAGTGCGAGTTGTGAGTCTCCACGCGCGTTAGAATTTCGCCACGCGGGAGGGCACCTATTTGTTAAATACTATTTGAAGCGCACCGTAATACGCTCCATAATTTTTGCCAAAAAGGTGGACAGCAATCAATGACAGAGCAACGTTGCGTAGGTAATGGCAGAGTGTCCGTGTTATCTTGTTACTTAGAATGCTGCGGTCTTCAGTCTACTGAAAGCCGCCTTTCCAGTACACATTGTAAAAATTACAAGTATACGGTGAATGTTCATACATATTGTTACAACTATTGCAAGGCTTGGTGCCATCTGACGTACAAGAATCCCTGAAGTCGTTGCTTTGTAAAACCGTGCTACCAACTATAAAATATATAATAATACCTGGTGCATATAAAATGATACATGGTGCCTACCACCGATAAATGTGTATACACGGGACACAATCATCAGAGTTTAGGCAGGCACACGGCTTGAAAATACATCACAGCAATGTGAGCATAGTCCAAGATAATCTAAGGCATAGCAATGACATTGTTTTCAATGCCTAAGCACGTGGCTTAATATCACTAATCAGCTATCCCACAGCCAACCTCACATGTCAAGTACGAAATCAGTTGTCACATAACAATCATATGACAAACACAAGTCTGCACAAAGCACATGCACACACTGTGAAAGCTGGCATCGCATACGTAACCGATAACAAACACAGCTATCACATGTAAAAAGCATGCAATTGGGAAAAATCATGACGGCATGTCTGCAAGCATCGAGTGCCAGTCAGGCACGCGAGAAAGCTGGGCATAGTGGGCATGCTGCAGGCGCGCGGGGTCAGCTGTGAACAAGGCAGGGCATGTGCGAACAAGGCATGCCAGGTCAGCCCAGTAAAGCCGGGGTCGCGCGGGGCCAGTGAGCAATGGCGGCGTCAGGTATACCCGAGCAGCGGTCACGGAGAGCCGAAATGTCGCCAGCAATGGCGGCGTCAGGTACACCCGAGCAGCGGTCACGGAGAGCCGAAATGTCGCCGGCAATGGTGGTGTCAGGTATACCCGAGCAGAGGTCATGGAGAGCCGAAATGTCTCCGGCAATGGCGGTGTCTGGCGTATCCTAACGTTACTAATACCCTGCTATGTTGATTCCCTACCTCCTCTTTCCCTGGTTATTCTTCGCAATCCGTTTGCATCTGTTCCCGCTGCTGCTGCGGAAGCCACAGGTGGTTCTGGGTCCACCAGCTTCATCATATCCCCCAGGGACAATATATTATGTGTCGGAACCCCACGTCTCACACGAATGTTGAGCTATCGTGCATCTGACCATTCTCCGACGACCTTGCTATTGTTTATGATTTGCCAGGCTTCTGAGGCGATAGGCCCATTGTCGTGCATCACGTTGTTGGAGATAAACACGCTGTTGGCCACCTGAACTGTCACGTTGGGGCTTCAGAAAAAGGGCGGGGTTTCCTCAGCTCCTTCATTGCGTTGCAAGGTTGGCACGTGGCGAAGTTCGTGAAACAAACATAAATCGTTCGGCTTTTCCCTGGGGTGCGGGCCAAGTCTCCGTGGGAAACGTCGATGCTGCCTGACGCGATCTCGACACCGGATATTCTGTCTACGTCAATCATCATCTGGTTTGTTGACCTTTATGGCCTCCCTCGGGTATGCCACTGATATTAGCGCGTGCTCGGGTGGGCGGTCAAATTGAACTCCCCCCGAAGATCTCTCCAGATTGGTTTCTGAACGGCGCGTCGTAGCCGCGCCAAATTGTGCTCAGCTGTAGACAATTGAATAGCAAATCGTTTGGCATCAAAAATTTAGATATACCCTGTAAGTGCTGACCCATGGGAGGGCAAAATCAGGCCATAGTTTCAGCGAAGGCAATTTCAAGGGAATCATTCAATCTGATCCAACAACGGAGTGTTAGACATAGCCATACATCTCTGAGTTGCTTTCTTAGGCAACACAACAGTTGAATGGGCAAATAGCGTTGACCTAAAGTCAGGTATGAAGGTCACATCATGGTCAAATCCAGCCTATTTTGTTGCTTTAGGGTTTGCTGTATGAGATAGTTTCTGATACTCCTTTCGAGTTTATTGATAGCAGGAACCGCATTAGACATCTTCCATGGACTTCTTAGAGGTCAGAATAGATCACTGACCTAAAATGACCCAGGCCAACATTTTGTTTTGAGAACATACTGCTTAGCCTAATTCTTGTCGCTTAGTAAAATACAAAACTGAAGGCAATCTTGTGTTATTTTGGTCACCTTGACCTTCAAAAGGTCAGTCACTGACCTAGAATGAGCACAAGACCCTTTGCCTAGAAACGGTTATGTATGTTCTGTGATTACTTTGAAGACCAGCCTGAAACTTGATTTTGTTTCACTTTTTTGACCCGAAGGTCATGACTTAGGAACCTGAAATTCCCTATTCCCTTCGCCTCCAGCCTCTTACTCTTTGATCTGTTCATCCCTATCGACCACAGCTTCGGCTACGGTCGCCGTCACCTGCTCATTGACAGAATTCAGGCTACCCTGCTTCACCGCTCTCTTGATGGCCTTCTCTATCCTAATGGAAGTCAGTTGTCAGTTACCAGTTAGTGCTGGGTCACGGACACTCTCACTCGGCTCGGCCAGTCAATCCCTCAGCGTATAGGGGGAGCGAGCGGGTGGACGAAGCAGGCAGCATGCGATCCGACTGGGGCGGTGGTCACAGGTAGCCTGATGCCATTTGCTATTGCCCAAACTTTCCGATGTCACAAACATGAGATAGCCTACCATTTTCTTCTGAATTTTTCGCATTTTTCCTCTCGCTCGGATAGCTGGTCGCATCGGTATGTGCACGTCGAAAATGAACTAAATACTTAGCCGCCAAAGGCGCTGAAGCCATGTGTTTTCTGGCCAGCGAAGTTTACCGGGCCTGCGCCACCGCTCGTAATGCGAGTTGTGAGGCCCCGCGCGTGCAGACAATTTCACCATGCGCGACTTCTGCTTGTTGAAAATTACCCAAGCCCGACGCAGTTCTTTCAGGAATTCATGTAAAAAATAATGGAGAGTAATCCATGCTGACGCGCCGCATTATAGGTCATGAACAATGTCGGCGCTGTCTCATCGCTTATAAAAGCGGGCCTTCACCATATTCAAAACAGCCTTGCATCCATCTCAGGAAATATGACATAAGTTTATTAGTATATTGTGCATGCATATACACATGGTTACAAATACTGCAAGGCGTCGTGCCATATCACGAACATAAAGCCCGAAGTCGCTCCTTTGTAAAACTGCGTTACCAACGGCACGTGGTACCTACCACCGACAAATGTACATATATATATATATATATATATATATATATATATATATATATATATATACAGGATACAATTCTCGCGAAAATGAAGGCACAAGACTTGCGAACATATCACAGCTATGCAATAGTCCATGATGACCTAAGGCACAGCAATGAACACATTTCAACGCCTGAGCAATTGACTACACATCACTGATGAGCTTTCCCACAGCCAAGGATCAAATCACTTGTAACATATCACTCATATCACACAGATAAATGCACACATGACACATGCGCACACTTCTAAAGCTGGCATCACATACAAAACCGATGGCACAGAAAATTATCACATACAAATGTAGGGGCCTGAGAAACGGGATCATGACGCTACATCCGCAACCATTGAGTGCCTACCTACCGCCGATACATGTAGATAAACAGGAGATAATTATCGGCGTGAATGAAGGCACAAAACTGTACATACAAATGTAGGGGCCTGAGAAACAGGATCATGACGCTACATCCGCAACCATTGAGTGCCTACCTACCGCCGATACATGTAGACAAACACGAGATAATTATCGGCGTGAGTGAAGGCACAAAACTTGAAAACATCACAGGTATGTAAGCAATAGCCCATGATGACCCAGCAATGAACACATTTCAATGCCTGAGCATAGCAATGAACATAGCAATGGACACATTTTAATGCATTAACAAGTTGCTAAATAACACGGAGCTTTCGCACAGCCACAACTGCATGCCAGGTACGAAATCACTCGTCACATGTCACTCATATGATACAAACAAACATACAGGTGGCACATGCACATATTTCTCAAGCTGGCATCACGTAAACAACCGATGACACAGAAAATTATCACCTGCAAATGAAGGGACCTGAGAAAAAGCACCATGAAGCTATGTCTGCGAGTACCGACTGCCCAGGATAGACGGCGTCAATACAGCGTGAGAAATCACGGAGAAATGCCACTGATTAGATGCAAACAAAACACCTGCACAAGAATATACACATATGTACAGCCATACAGAGTAACTGAGGCAACTGAGCTATTCAGAACACCCCTGTGACTTTACGCACAGCCACAACGCACCCATCAGTGGCCCACCGGGCCACCGTCACCGGCCACGGCAACACCATCAGTGTCCTCCTCATCATCTGAGTCCTCGGGAAGGATCTCTGGCCAAACGCCCATCCACACTGTAGGAGGTGCCGGTCTCCATTCTTCCTCTGCATCCTCGACGTCGTCTTCCCAGTCGCTGTCGCTGCCATCTATCCGAGACTTGACGAAGCTCGTTTTTGTCTCATGCTCACTCCAAGGCTCCGGGAAGAGAATGGCCAGCGGAGCGATCGGCTCGTACCGCTCCCCGTCGAATCGGGTGAAGAAGCGTCCCACCTCCTGATGATCGATAGGCTGAGGATCTGGGGCCAGTTGCAGCTCCTCTGCAATGATACATCCACTTCTGTTAGAGGTAGACGGAAGAGGCGCTCTACACAACAATGGGTGCAAGACATATCTCAATTTGCTGTGATTTGTAGACAGCTTAGCAATATTTTTCAACAGCAGCTAGGGGGGTGAGCTGCACTACGTAGCACAATGTCCAGTTTGGCTGTGTTATGTAGAAATATTTGAACTTATGAAATAGCAATGAATGCGAATCAGAGAAGATATCCCAAAATCTGCCAAACAGACATCATCAATAGTCAACTCAACATAGCAACTTCGTGGTGTACATAAAGCTGGTGCAATGCACCCAAACAAAATATGCCGGCGCTCTGCTGACAACTGAAATACTGGTGGGATCTCAGTGTAATGTACTCCGAATCAGTGCACAACATTTATTCGGGGAGCCTGCTCACCTTCAGCCATGTATCCGAAACGGTCACCCTCCATCAGCAAGTTGTAGAAAGGTTGCTTTTCTCCCCGCTGAAGTCCGGAGCAGACGCGACTGTGTGCTATCCAGTCCTGCAAACACCACCGACCCCGAGTCAACACACTGGCTCACACCACGTGGCCGTCGTACGAGATGAGAGCGAGGGGAAACCGTGAGGCTCCGTGTAAATGCTGGTAAAGAACTTTCACGCATCAAGTGACATACGTAGCAAATTGGTACTCTTACATCCCATCATTGATGCACCGATTTCTACTACCCATCAAGCAGGGGTAACACCATGAATGAAAGAATGGCACAAATGCAACATGTCTGTATGAAACAGCAAGAAATATTTGTGATACAGCAAGGGCATGCATTGAAAACGAATTATGTGAAAGGCAGACAGGAAATCACAAAATCATAATTGACCGTATGAGATACATTAAACCCCAACATGCTGAAGACATTCCATATCCCCTCTTTCAAAAAAAAAACATCACTGTTTGTAAAATAAGGACAGCAATAGTCCCACAAATACATATTTACAAGGCATTCAGCGACTGCCTTGCTGTGGAAGAAGTAACAAAACAACAAAAAAGTCAAGTTGACTTCTCAGACTCAGCCACTTAACTAGATCAAATTCTCACAAAACAGTACAAATGGGGTCAGACATGGACTGGCCTGATCCTGTAACTCCATTTAAACCGATCGTACCTGTGAGGCCTCGTAGTATGGTGAGCACCCGTACACCACTGCCAGGCGCTCGTCGCCGTACGTGACGACGTCACCGACGCCGAACTGCCTCGGATAGTCGCCCGCTACTCGGTCCGCCGCGCGGAGGCTCACCTGCAACGCCGATGAAAATACTGACGGCGTTGCAGACAACCTCGGGAGATGACTGAGCGGCATGGTATAACATGATTAGCGCGACACAAAACATAACTGAAAACAAATGAGCTGAGTGACAGTACCGAGCATCAGCCAAACCAGAAACAATAATAAGAAGAAAAAGGGCATCCACAAATCCTTGGAACAAAAAGCTCACACGCGCAAAACGATGTAACATTAGCATATCAGCATCACAATTTCATGCTGATGATGCTTAGACATGGGATTAAACATGTTATACAGCGGCATTTAGCCAGCGGCATTTGTCATTCAGCATTAACGTGCGTTTGCAGACGTACACTTAACTTACCAACATGCATGCATAACATAATATGACACACAGTAACACAACGGAACACCAACTACACCACCCACACGCATACGCACAAGCACGCTTTCGCATTACGTTGGTGAGAAGCTACAGGAGTAACTTCACTCATTGGCAATTTCATCAAATCCAGTTTATTATTATTACCAGTTCCTGGACTTTGGCCTCTTGTTCATCCAGGGAGCGCGCCAGCCGTTTGTACATCCTCTTGAAGTGCTTCATGAGTACTTCCAAGCCACGCCTCTCGTTCTCCGCCAGTAACATGCCGTTAGCCTGGACGAATTGCTGCAGATAGAAGGCAGTGAAAATAAGGTCACATCAGACTCCCTCATTATATCGCCGCGTTTTTTTATGACACATGTTTGGACGCAACGCACAGCCTTCGATTGCGGGCCATGTACGAATTCGATACTTCTGTGAACCAAAGATGAGACCACAAAGTCACCTTCCAGACTTCCATTCACATCTACATCATACACAATCATCAGGCGCATAAAAGCGAACCAGACGTATATTTCCAATAATGGTTGAAAACAACTGCCAAACGCCACGAAAAAAAGGCGCGCGACGCCGCTGTGCTATCGCTACCCACCTCAGCACCGCACGATGAATGGAATCGACAAAGACGATTGGCCGAGGCCGAGGCTTTGTAGAAAATTATAGATAGCACACATGCTGGGTTGTTCAGGTTTAGCATCATTAAACACCACTGACCTGCAGCAGGCGGCGTGTGTACATGGGTCTGGTACGAGCCAGGGCGGACATCAGGTCGTCGAGCGCAGCCATGTCCAGGCGGCAGTCGCTGCGAGCCCAGCAGGCCAGTGTCTCAAACGAGGCCAGGTCGAAGCCAGTTCCTGGCCGGCGGCCATCCGGATGGGTGGCGCCATTGATCAGGCGGCCCAGCAGCTGCCAAAAACAATGCATCACGTGAGACAAAGAGGGACATCATACTGGCACCACAACACACTGAAAAATGTACACACAGCAGGACTTATCACAAGTTGTAGTGGGGCTGATGGTGCTCACATATTCATATAAGAACACAGCACCCCAGACCTCAGACTCTGGTGCTTTCTTTGCAAAGGACCTTTGCAAAAGGCATGCATACAACTACTCGTTAAACAAAACGGCAGATTTTTCAATAAAAAATCCACGTACCCTACATAACAGGGCCTGTTGTCCAAGAATTTGCAACATCAGATGCATCACGTACCCCTGCTCTGGGAAAGGGTTCCAGCATCTGAAGGTCCATGTCCGGATGTACAGCATTCAACTCCTCCAACACCTGCTCTCTGGATAGCTGCATGCCGCGACGGACAACGTCGATGAACAGGTACTCTTCACTGTCCCTGCGTGAGGAGCAGCACGTCAAGACATCGTGCACAATGAACTGCATGCATTTATACATGTGTCACGTAAATTGCAATACATCACTGTACAACAGACAGCTTCAGTCACAAAGAAACAGGCACACAAGAACATTCATAAAAAGGCAAACAAGAAAAGACTACACAAGACAAATACAGTCGGTTCACAATTGTTGCATTTACACAAAATGACAACACATCGTGCATCAATGCGATTGGCTTGATTTAATATGGATGTTACATTTAGAAAATGAATATTCAGTGTTAAGCAAATGATCAATGTCATTACCCACAAATCATCCGTAACACCACGTCATTACTTTGGTTTGCTTCCTCCGTATCGCAGTGACCAATTGCTCCAAAGAATTTGGATCTTTTTAAGGAAAAAAGGTGATGCGCTTACCAGAGCTGATTTCAAGAAACAAATGGCTTTGTTGAAAGACGCAAACATATCAAAATGCACCACCAATAGCGAAAAATGCATCAAATCCTTTGGCATCAAGTGAATACAACAACTGGTGAATACATGCACGCCGTGAAAACAGGACCACCCAAAAAGACGTGACTTGAGCAGCCGAAATCTGTCTATATAGCGTCAATGGTGCCAGAAGACCCATTCCCCATGACCCTTCCGACAATGCTTACGTTTGGTGCCAGCAGATCATCGAGCTATGCGGGAACTGCACGTTGTGGAGGTTGACACCCAGCATGCCAGCTACCGAGGAGTAGACCGTCCCCATTACAGTCTGCGTCCCGGAGCCGGCACAGTGGAGGTGGCGACGAAGGTAGAGCACCTGAAAAAGGAAATAGTAAGCCATTTAATGCATTGTGCTGCAGGCAACAGCAGTAACCTCCACACAACGAGAGCAAACAGCCCATCACACCATTCAGTCACCGAGCCAGCAATAGATTACAAAACGGAAATCACACTTACTGAAATCAAACATCACCTGTTAGTAACGACCACACTGGTGAGCATTTTATCATGACTACCGTGGTCAATCGCCAGTCAACAATTTTCACAGAGACTCTGGCTTCTAGACTGTACAGACATCGCAACAGCGTGCTCGGTGTTAAGCCATCTGAGAGGAGCCTGATAATGTGCCTTACGACGAACCCGCAGAAAACGCGTGACCGACAGTATGCTTCGCAATTCACAGCCCTGCATGGAAAACAGTATCAGGAAAACCAGGTCAGAAGGAGAAGCCTCTGTATGTCCTGTGCGTGCTTTCACCTGCTCAAACATCCACGAAACAGTGATGAATACTTATGCGTTACACTAACCAGTGTGCTCAGCCCGGCAGCCGGTGCGTCCTCCGGCTCTCCATCCTTCATCAGGGCAAGCTGATCATACAGCACGACGTTCAGCACGTCCAGGAGCATCAGTGTCTGGTCATCCGTCCACAGCGTAGGTCCGAACGGGTTCTTTTTTGCACGTATCCCAGGCGGCGGCCGGATTGTTCCGGGAGCTTCCGACGCAGCTCGTCCAAAACCAGGCCGCGGCGGATCTTGATGTAGCAGCTGTAAAAACCACGCAATGTCAACGCTCGCAAGTACACGTGAAAGGTCCGTCTTTGTCACCGGGGGTGGGGTGTGGGGGGGGGGGGGGGGAGGATGGAGACGAATGTTGCCAAAGTCTAAAGATTCATCAAGATGTGAGATAAGCTGCCTTGTATTACCGCTTCTCTGGCCGAGAACCGACGAGTCACATTGTGTATTACTAATTTCTCGACCTCGCTATTTGTTACACCACGTGCGTTCCAGTTCTTGTTGATTGTCCCTGTAATCAACGCACAGCGCCAGTTGCCCGGGGGGCCCCCAAAACTACGGGTGGAGAGCGACCAACATTGAAAAAGCCATAACCGTACAGTAACCAACGCCTCCAGTCCGCTATTTATCGGACAAATAGACACAGAAAGGGGATGTGAGATTGGTTGCATACTTGTGCCCATCAGGACGAACTCCATATACATTAGGAACACAGTCCAGCTGGCAGAACGTGTTCGCGCCAAACCTTGAACTTCCGCATGCAGATCGAGTATTTGCTAAGGAGATGAGAGACTCACGTCTTAAGACTGGACTCTCGGTTGTTGGTTTGCTCCGGAACCATCCAGAGGCTCATCAGATAAAAGGCTTCGGGCACGTTCACATGCTGCGCTGGGCGCTGCATGTACTCCCGGAACATGGGCAGCAGCACGACGTCTCGCTGGATCTCGCGGAACAGCATCCGCATAGTAGCGCAGAGACAGGTCATCATCCCTGCCAAAAAAGGCTCGAATTACACACATGCCTACACAGCAACTGTCCACTGCGCAGACCAGTTGTGATGTCGGAGGCTTACATATAAGTCAATGAGTAAAATTTCTGGAGCGAATAGTCTGGTTCGGTCTGCAGATTACTTAGGTGATAGCAGAGTATATGAAAAGAGCATGAAGGTAGTGGTGGGCAATAAACCAAGGTACTGGACCGAGCAGCCTGATACGAACAATGCCGGCAAGCTGTTGGGATGCGATAACAGAAGGTAAGCCTAGAGGAAGACAGGGTAGTGACACTGGAGTGAGCAATGATCCAGTTTTGGTTCTGTCCCACAAAATGTCAGGGATAAGATTGTCATTCCAAACTAAGAGGAAAGCGGGACAGAGCGACAAGAGAAACTAGCACGCTCCTTGAGAAATGGCCACCGTTGTTGAATATGGCCCAACTGTCAGAAGTATGAGAAGCTCCGTAGTTTAAGACCAAAAATTAGAACAATGAATACTTCAGACTCTGGATAAGGGCACGTGAAGGATTATGCAAAGTACATAACACGTGCAGTGCCTATGTGACTAAGAATTTATGGTTGACAAATTGCATTCAGCTGAACAAACTGCATGACACCAGACCACCTGGACAATGTGATCCAACTTACGGGCAGTGTTGGCGGGGATAGATGACCTCCAGTAGCGCATCCCGATAAAACAGGGTACCATGGACGGGCACCAGCTTGCGGAACTCCTCCATAGCGGGGTCCGGCAGGTAGTCGACTGAGTAGCATCTGTCGGCCATCTTGGCTAGAGCCGTGCGCAGGTGGTGGCCAGCCGAGGCGCGGAACCTCGCAGTACGCCGCCAGCTGCGGCCGCACCGCTCAAACACGCGCAGCAGGGCAGGTCGGCACGAGGGCTGCAACAAGCGCGGGTACCTGCGAAACAAGAACACAATGTCACGACTGACGCAAATCGGCACGATGGGAGGTCTCTTGGGTGGAAGACGTGCCTAAATATGCTTAACTCAGAAATCTTGGTCGAAACATTCAGCACAACGAGGGTGATTCAATCAATGACATCTTCAGTCCGCATAAGAAACAAACGTGACACACACACCACCAAATATTACTCCAATTACCGCCAACCACCTGTTTGTTCGCCATCGAGCACTCTGAGAATATGTGAAAACTCAGGAACCTGACAAGGCCGGACATTGCGAAAGATTGTAATTTTGAAACGTACTGAGTGGTACGCAAGCATGCATGCAACAGGTTGAAATCCGGCTAGCCAAGCAATGCTAATGTTACTTCTCCATAATATTGGTTGTTTCAGCCAGGGGTAGTCCAGCATTAGTCATCTAGATCACTCGACAGGGCGCCTCACAAGAAGTCAAATAGGTCACGTGTTTCGTCTTTGCGACTACAGGGACGATGTATGTGGAGCCCTCATCTCCCCACCAATCATCACTGCACTC